CAAAAGATATAGCATCTGGGGTCTTAAAAGCTTGAAGGTAAACAAGTGGCCATCTAGCTCAGAAGCAACAAAGCCCACATGGAAGAAGCACACCAGCTTGTGTGATCACGAGGTGTCGAAGGGATCAGATATCAGGCATCATCAGAACAAAAATTCTTATCACAGTAAATGAGGGGGGGAGTGCGGAGTGAAGACCCAAAGCCCATTTGTAGGCCACTGGACATCCCCTTACAGAAGGGTCTCAGGGAGGAGACAAGCCAGTCAGGGTACGATGTAACAACGATGAAAAATACAACTTTCCTCTAGTTCCTAAATGCTTCCTCCTCTCCCACTATCATGATCCCAATTCTACTTTACAAATCTGGCTAGACCAGAGAATGCACACTGGTACAGACAGGAACTGGAAATGCAGGGAATCCAGGGCGGATGCTCCCTTCAGGACCAGTGCTGTGAGTGGCGATACTAGGAGGGTAGAGGGAAGGTAACCGATTACAAGGTTCTACATGTGACCTCCTCCCTGGGGGGACTGACAACAGAAAAGTGGGTGAAGGGAGATGTTGGACAGGACAAGATATGACAAAATAATAATTTGTGAACTATAAGGATTCATGAGGGAGGGGGGAGCAAGGAGTGAGGGGGAAAAATGAGGAGCTGATGCCAAGGGCTTAGGTGGAGAGCAAATGTTTTGAGAATGATGAGGGCAATGAATTCAAATGTGTTTACACAATTGATGTATGTATGGATTGTGATAAGAGTTGTATGCTCCCCTAATAAAACGATTAAAAAAACTAACCTGCTATATTTGGTCAAACATTTAACTAACACACCCCTAATGTGATGGCTAGAACCTTTTCTCCTGGTCAGGTGTGTGTGTTAGCTGGTACTGATGATTTATGGGCTCAAGGCTGGGTGATTCCTACCCGTGGTCTAAAGGGTGGGTTTTAATTCCTCAGATAATTTCTCACCAACATCCTATAGCTCTAAAAGAGATATTTTGTGGTAACAGAATCAAGTTATGCAGCAAGCACTAACACTGGTTGGGAAATGAAAATATATCTTTTAAGAGCTAAGCCAAGACGTTGAACCACAAGTTTCAGGTATCATTTAATGAGCTCATACCTTGTTCTTGTTATTGAAGGCCAGAGCCCGGACCTTGCAGTTGTCAGGGTTTGTGTCCTCCTTGGGGATGTCCTTTAAGGCCTTGTGAGTTATGTGGGCATACACAGGGACCCGGGATACATTGTGCATTGCATCACTTTTGGTCAGTACATCATCTGTCACCTCCCAGAGTCCCATGGAACCATCGCGTGAGCCTGCAAAGCAAGAAGACCACAAATGTCAGAAATGTCTAAATCTCCATGTCCCATAGAAGACAAGACAGATTTTCTGAATTTAGCTGTTGATTCTTCATCCTTAGATATGCTAAAGCTGGGTCAGGCAGCCTACCCTACCCCCAAAACATAAAACAGTATGAATTCCAACAGACACACTAAGGGATGATTCAACCAAGACATGGGAATTAAGATACAACCTCTGGATCTTTAAGATCACTTTCACACAGCAATGTTATAGACTCCTTTTTACTCTACAAAAAAATATGCGCACATGCCACAATCTACATTCAATTTCAAGGAGGTTCATGGGCCTCCTAAAGGCTTTCCATGGACCCACTGGGACCACAATCTTCTATTTAAAAACAATTTTGTTATACATAAACTGCATGTTCAAAATAGATTTTTTTAACTTAGCAAATAATTATGAAGTACTTAAAACACCAAGAACATTTTTCTTTAATACGAAGTCCTGAATATACTGCTGTGACTAAACTTTCTACAGAACAATTGAGCAATCTACAGTAAGTTCCAACCTAGGAACAATCCACTATGACATGTATTATGGGAAAAGACGACCTATATACAAAGATGCTGACTCAGAACAA